GAAGTAAGCACTTCCAAGAACATAGTAGTACGCATTATAATATTTGCGGTTTAAATACCGTAGTTTAAATGGTTTGAAGTTCAACTAAAGAAGTTTAACTTCAATCCTATTAGTAATAAGAGGCTCAAACTTTTACAATTTATCAAAAATGCTAGTATGTCAGCATGAAAGAGATATTTTGAAACAGGTTTCAGTTAAAGAGCGACACTCTTCAGGCTGCAATATGTGAACTAGCGTTTGAAACTCTTCATTACGTTTTTAGCTGCAGGAAAAAGTATTGTATTCTTGGAGAACTAGTTAAGTACTCAACAAGACGCTCTTAAAAGGAGTGCTGGGTGGTGTGGAGCAGTCACAGCTCACACACACACTCACATACAATGAGTGTAGAGAAAGGCCTTCTGGCTATGGCCTCTGCCGGTGCCATTTTGGCTATGGTCGCCTGTCTTGTCGCTGTTCCATCTTTGTACAGAGAAATCAAGGAGATTCACGACATGGTGAGTCCCTGCTCTATTTTATCTATAACTTTTTTTCTGCTGTGAACGTTAGTCTCTGTTCTAGGTGCTCGACGGTGTGGCTATGTTCCGCACAGAAACCGATTCCGCATGGATAGAGATGATGGATGTGCAGCTGATGATTTCGCCAGATTCTAGACGTCCTGAAAACCCATTTGATTCTTTCTTTCGACGCAAAAGACAAGGTTTGCCACCATGGTGCGTTTGCGAAATCACGCCTATCACCTGCCCTCCAGGACCACCTGGACCGCCTGGACAGCCGGGAGCTCCAGGTCAGAAAATAAAGGCTCATACGACTTTCATTTTAAAAAAATGTAATAAGAGGATCTTTAGGAAACCCTGGAATGCCCGGCCCCCCAGGAAGAGACGACACCACGGTCTATGCTCCTATTCATTGTCCTGCTCCAGATCCCAGCTGCATCAAATGCCCACCAGGACCGATGGGTCCACCGGGAACACCTGGTCAAGTAGGCCCACCTGGCCAGATGGGTCGACCAGGCCAACCAGGGCGAAAGGGCAACGATGGCGTACCAGGACCTCAAGGCCCACCGGGAAATGGCGGCACACCCGGTCAGCGTGGACAAGCTGGAAAACCTGGTAATAAAGGACAAGATGGACGGCGAGGCCGAGGACAACCCGGAGCAGCCGGT